AAGCTAAGCTAAGCTAAGCTAAGCTAAGCTAAGCTAAAAGCTAAGCTAAGCTTAAGCTAAGCTAAGCTGGGCTAGGCAAAGCTAAGCTAAGCTAAGCTGAGCTGAGCTAAGCTAAGCTAAGCTAGGCTAGGCTAGGCTAAGCTAAGCTAAGCTAAGCTAAGCTAAGCTAAGCTAAGCTAAGCTAAGCTAAGCTAAGCTAAGCTAAGCTAAGCTAAGCTAAGCTAAGCTAAGCTAGCGAAGCTAAGCAGGGTAAGTTAAGCTAGCTAAGCTAAGCTAAGCTAAGCTAAGCTGCTAAGCTAAGCTAAGCTAGGCTAGCTAAGCTAAGCTAAGCTAAGCTAAGCTAAGCTAGCTAAGCTAAGCTAAGCTAAGCTAAGCTAAGCTAAAGCTAAAGCTAAGCTAAGCTAAAGCAGCGAAGCTAAGCTCAGCTAAGCTAAGCTAAGCTGGGCTAGGCAAGGCTAAGCTAAGCTGAGCTGAGCTAAGCTAAGCTAAGCTAGGCTAGGCTAAGCTAAGCTAGCTAAGCTAAGCTAAGCTAAGCTAAGCTAAGCTAAGCTAAGCTAAGCTAAGCTAAGCTAAGCTAAGCTAAGCTAAGCTAAGCTAAGCTAAGCTAAGCTAAGCTAAGCTAAGCTAAGCTAAGCTAAGCTAAGCTAAAGCTAAGCGAAGCTAAGCTCAGGGTAAGTTAAGCTAAGCTAAGCTCGGGGAACCCAGGGGGCGCAACTGGGGGAACCAGGGGGGCGCAACTGGGGGAACCGCCCGGGGTGGGTAGCATTGCCCGCCCCCTTTAGCAAATTATCCCAGTGCGACCCTACCTAGGAGTTGGAGCATTCAGGAAAGCAACAGCTAAGCTAAGCTAAGCTAAGCTAAGATGGGGTAAGCTAAGCTAAGCTAAGCTAAGCTAAGCTAAGCTAAGCTAAGCGAAGCGAAGCTAAGCTAAGCTAAGCTAAGCTAAGCTAAGCTGGGCTAGGCAAAGCTAAGCTAAGCTAAGCTGAGCTGAGCTAAGCTAAGCTAAGCTAGGCTAGGCTAGGCAAAGCTAAGCTAAGCTAAGCTAAGCTAAGCTAAGCTAAGCTAAGCTAAGCTAAGCTAAGCTAAGCTAAGCTAAGCTAAGCTAAGCTAAGCTAAGCTAAGCTAAGCTAAGCTAAGCTAAAGCTCTAAGCGAAGCTAAGCTCAGGGTAAGTTAAGCAAGCTAAGCTGGGCTAGGCAAAGCTAAGCTAAGCTAGCTGAAGCTAAGCTAAGCTAAGCTAGGCTAGGCTAGGCAAAGCTAAGCTAAGCTAAGCTAAGCTAAGCTAAGCTAAGCTAAGCTAAGCTAAGCTAAGCTAAGCTAAGCTAAGCTAAGCTAAGCTAAGCTAAGCTAAGCTAAGCTAAGCTAAGCTAAAGCTAAGCGAAGCTAAGCTCAGGGTAAGTTAAGCTAAGCTAAGCTGGGCTAGGCAAAGCTAAGCTAAGCTAAGCTGAGCTGAGCTAAGCTAAGCTAAGCTAGGCTAGGCTAGGCAAAGCTAAGCTAAGCTAAGCTAAGCTAAGCTAAGCTAAGCTAAGCTAAGCTAAGCTAAGCTAAGCTAAGCTAAGCTAAGCTAAGCTAAGCTAAGCTAAAGCTAAGCTAAGCTAAGCTAAGCTAAGCTAAGCTGGGCTGGCTAAGCTAGCTAAGCTTAAGCTAAGCTAGCTAAGCTAAGCTAGCTAGCTAGCTAGCTAGGCAAAGCTAAGCTAAGCTAGCTAAGCTAAGCTAAGCTAAGCTAAGCTAAGCTAAGCTAAGCTAAGCTAAGCTAAGCTAAGCTAAGCTAAGCTAAGCTAAGCTAAGCTAAGCTAAGCTAAGCTAAGCTAAGCTAAGCTAAAGCTAAGCGAAGCTAAGCTCAGGGTAAGTTAAGCTAAGCTAAGCTCGGGGAACCCAGGGGGCGCAACTGGGGGAACCAGGGGGGCGCAACTGGGGGAACCGCCCGGGGTGGGTAGCATTGCCCGCCCCCTTTAGCAAAGAAAGTAAGAACCCTTCTAGGCAGAGCCTAGGTAGGGAAGAAAGTAAGAACCCTTCTAGGCAGAGCCTAGGTAGGGAATGAAATGTAATGTAAGGTAAACCAATGTAATGTAATGTAATGTAATGTAATGTAATGTACTGTACTCTAATGTAATGAAATGTAATGTAAAGGAATGCAATGCAATGCAATGCAATGCAATGCAATGCAATGCAATGCAATGCAATGCAATGCAATGCAATGCAATGCAATGCAATGCAATGCAATGCAATGCATGTATGTATGCATGTATGTATGCATGTCTGTATTTGTGCATGTATGTATGTATGTCTGTCTGTCTGTATGCATGCATGTCTGTCTGTCTGTTGTCTGCCTGCCTGCCTGCCTGCCTGCCTGCCTGCCTGTATGTATGTATGCATGCATGCATGCATGCATGCATGCATGTATGCATGTATGCATGTATGCATGTATGCATGTATGTATGTATGATGTATGTATGTACGTACGCATGCATGTATGTATGTATATATGTATGTCTGCATGCATGCATGAATGTATGCATGCATGTATGTCTGTCTGTCTGTCTGTCTGTCAGTCAGTCAGTCTGTCTGTCTGTATGTATGTATGTGTGTATATCTATGCACATGTATTGCAGTGGCCTCCGGCCAATGCCGCCGATCCGGGAGCGGCTGGATGTTCGTGCGGGGGCTTTTTGCAGGCAGTGTTGAAGCCTATTTGAAGCCTATTTGGCGCCGTTTTGGGGCATCTTGTGGCGTCATGGGGGCCTCATTGGGGTCTCTTGGGAGCTTTGAGGGGTCTCTTGAGACCTCGAGGGGATATTTTGGGGCGTGAAGCAGGAGTTAACGGTTCGGGATTCCCCTTTGGGGCCTCTCTTGGCGCTGTCTTGGGGCTCTCTCGGGCCGTCTCAGGCGCCTGTTGGTCGGTTTCGGGACTCTCTCGGGGCGTCTCTGGAACTTTTAGGGCGTCTTGGACGTCGTGAAGGCCGAGAAGTCGGACATGCTAAAAATGTAGGTTTTCCGAAAGGAATTGGATGTTGCTTGCCTATTGGCGCCTGGGGTGCTCTTGGAGGCCTCCTGGGACGTCTTGGGCGCTTTTGTGGCTGACTGGAGGTTATCTTGGGCGTCTGGGCCCGATCGTTCAGCGATTGTATTGGGCCTACAGGGTTTGAATTGTACATTTTGACGTGTCCGAGGCCCCCAAGAAAGCGGAGCAAAGCGGAGACAAGTGGAGCAAAGCAGAGCACAGTCGGAGCAGGGAGGCCCCCCCCCCTTCCTCCTTGACAGAGCCACCTCGGCCCCCCCCCCAGCAGAGTTGAAGCTCAGGCTCCAGGCTGTGGTTTAGCCTTTTTGAACCTCACGGAACCTCACGCCGGATCGGCGGATTCAGTATTCTTGTAACGCAATCGCTTCGCTCCTTCCGCTGGCCCATACTGCATGATCGCGGGGGGGTCCGCCGCAGGCTCGGGGCCAATGCGGCGCCGCCGAGGAGGAGAAGGAGGAGGAGAAGGATGAGGAAGGGGAGGGAGTGGAGGAGGAGAGGATGAGAGGATGGTGATGATGATAATGATGATGATGATGATGATGATGATGATGATGATGATGATGATGATGATGATGATGATGATGATGATGATGGTGATGGTGATGGTGATGGTGATGACGATGATGATGATGATGATGATGATGCTGATGCTGATGATGATGGTGATGGTGATGGTGATGATGGTGATGATGATGATGATGATGATCATGATGATAATGATGATTTTGATGATGATGATGATGATGATGCTGATGATGATGATGATGCTGATGCTGATGCTGATGCTGATGATGATGATGATGATGATGATGATGATGATGATGATGATGATGATGATGATAAGTAGGAAGAGGAGGAGACGGAGGAGGAAACCTTTCGATGTCAACTTGTAGCAGTCTTGGGGCCAAACAGGGTCGTCGTCAATATGCTTCTTACTTTGGGAGGCCACTTGAGGTCTCTTGAGAGGCCTCTCGGGGGCGCCTTGGATGCATTTTTGAGGCCTCGTGGGGCCTCTTGGTGGCCTCTCGGGGGCGTCTTCGGGCCTCTTGGAACCGCTTGGGAGCCTCCTGGGGCCTCTCGGGGCCTCTTGGGAACCTCTTGGGGCCTCTCGGGGGCCGCTTTAAGGCCTCTTGGGGGTCTCTTCGGGGCCTCTTGGGGGCATCTGGGGGGTTTCAAGGGGCTTCGTGGGGGTTCCTTGCGGGCCTGTTGGCACTTCTTCGGGCATCAAAGGGGCCTCTCGGGGCATGTCGGGGCCCTCTTGGGAGCCTCATGGGCCGTCTGGGGGTGATTTTTTGGTGCCTCTCTGGCCGTCTCGGACGCCAGAGGGGGGGATGCCAAAAGGCCCAAGACGCTGCGCCGAGACGGCCCTAGGGAAGTCTCAAATGGTCTTACGACGGCCCAAATATGCCCATGAGACCACCAAGAGATCCCCGATAACCCCCCAAGAGGCCCCCAGACAGCTTAAGGCAGCTTCCAAACGGTCCAGCAATTCCCTAGAACGTCCAACAGGCCCCAAGAGATGGGAGAAACCTAACGAGACGCCCCAAGAGGTGCGAAGAAAGGCCCAAATGGCAGAAAGCAGCAGCACGCAGCAGCAAGCAGTAACCCGCAGCAGTACGCAGTAGTAACTAGCAGCAGGCAGCACCAAGCAGCAGCAGCAGCAGCAGCAGCAGCAGCAGCAGCAACGACAGTAACCAGCAACAAGAGCGGCAACCGGTAGGAGTAGAAGCACTTCCCGTTGTGCTGGAAGGAGGTTTGGCGAGAGATTGCGGCCCGGGGAGCGCGGACCCAATCAGTGTGAAGTTCTATGTCCTTGTTTCCGTTGTGCCGCGTGCCTGCCTCCCACCCACATGCATCCTGCCTCTTCTTCCTGCCGATGCCGGGCACACCTCGCACATTTGGTGCCCCCCTTGCTTGTATGCGAGTCCGGCGTGTTTGCATGCTAGCTGCGGTAATCGTGCGTCTGGACTTTTCGCGATACGCAGCCGTTATTATTTTTAGGTCTGCATGCTGTCTGCAACGTCGGCCCTGGCGAGGCTGAGCCCCCACCCCTGCGATGTGGCGGGACCCGAGCGCCGCTCCCGCCTCTCACCGCCGAGCGCTGCAAGGAGGCAGGCTACCAGACGTGCTTCGGTGTAGCGTCGAATGAGTCAGAGGAGGAACATGGGCAGGAGAGGGAGGAGCAGAGGGATGAGTGGACGCATGCGCAAGTCGGGGGAAGGGGAGGGGGCGTCCTGGGGCCATGTTGGGCCATGCCTTCTGTTCCCTGGGGCCGTCTTGGAGGCCCCCCTCTGAGCTTTCGCTTGGCTTCCTGCGAGGCAGTGAGGTCGGACAAGGGCGAGGAGGCAGAGAAGCACGGGCAGCTGGCGTGTCGACCACCGCCACCGAGAACCCATCGGCGAGGGACTGGCCCCGTGGCGGTGGCACGCCTGCGCGTCCTCCTCCTCCTCCTCTTCTTCCTCCCCCTCCTCCTCTTCCCCCTCCTCCTCCTCCTCCTCCTCCTCCTCCTCCTCCTCCTCCTCCTCCTCCTCTCCTCCTTCCCCTCCCCCTCCCCCTCCGGACGATGAGCATCGGCAGGGGCGGGCTCCTCGCAAAGAGGTGCCACGGCATCCAGTATTGCCAGATCGCCAGGAGAGCGCTTGGTCCGTCGAATCCTCCGCCAGGTCGCCCCAACTCTTGTCGAAAGCAGGCTACCGTCCTTCATCTTCGATGCTCGCATGCTATTTGGTGGTGGGTTTTAGTGGTGGGTTTTGGCCCGATCGAGGGAGAGGAGAGGTTCAGGGAGAGGAAGGGAGGAGGAGAGGGAGGATGCTTCCTCCGATCCTTCCTCCCCTTCGCACAGTCCCCGCGCCCGACAGGACGTGGGGGGCCTCGGGGGCAGGCTGAAGCAGGAGCGGCGCCCCCGCGGGCGTTTTGCCTCATGATGATGATGATGATGATGATGATGATGATGCTGATGATGCTGATGCTGCTGCTGCTGCTGCTGCTGAGGATGAGGATGAGGATGAGGATCATGATGATGATGCTGATGATGCTGATGATGCTGATGCTGACGCTGACGCTGACGATCGGGATGGTGATGGTGATGGTGATGCTGATGCTGATGCTGGTACTGCTGTTGCTGATGCTGACGATGATGACGATGATGATGACGATGTCGATGACGATGACGATGATGAGGATAATGATGAGGAGGATGTGCAGCGGAAACCTCCGATAATGCTACTGCTGATGATGCTGATGCTGCTGATGATGATGCTCATGATGATGCTGATGATGTTAATGACGGTGGTGATGATGATGGTGGTGGTGATGATGGTGGTGCTGGTGGTGCTGATGATGCTGCTGTTGTTGATGATGATGATGATCAGGATGTTGATGTTGACTATGACGATGATGATGACGATGACGATGACGATAACGATAACGATGATGAGGAGAATGATGAGGAGGATGTGGAGCGGGAACATATGATAACGCTGCAACTTATGAAGATTGTGCTGATGCTGCTGATGATGATGCTCATGATGACGATGCTGATGAGACGCTGATGGTGGTGATGGTGATGGTGGTGGTAATGATGCTGGTGCTGGTGGTGATGGTGATGCTGATGGTGATGCTCAGGATGTTGATGATGACGATGATGATGCTGCTGATGATGGTGAGGATACTGATGCTGATGATGCTGGTGGCGATGACGATACTGGTGCTGCTCCTTCTAACGATGATGATGATGATGATGATGATGATGATGATGATGATGATGATGATGATGATGATGATGATAATGATGACGATGACGACGATGACGAGGCTGATGATGATGATGAGGAGGTGAAGTGGACACGGATGCTGATGATGATGCTGATGATGATGATGCTGATGATGATGATGATGACGGTGATTATGATGATGATGATCATGACGATACTGATGATGTTGATGATGCTGATTACGATGATAATGATGAGGTTGACGATGACGATGATTACGATGATAATGATACTGATGATGCTGATGATGCTGATGATGGTGATGATGATGGTGATGATGATCATGATGCTGATGCTGATGACGATGATGACGATATTGATATTGCTGCTGCTGACGATGATGTTAATGATGTTGATGATGATGACGATGATAATGATAATGATGATTCTGATGATGCTGATGATGATGTTGACGACGATGGCGATGCTGAGGATGACGATGACGAGGTGGAGCGGACGCGGATGATGCTGATGCTGATGATGATGCTGACGATGTTGATGCCGTTGTTGCCGCTGTTGTTGATGATGAGTATTCCCTACCTAGGCTCCGCCTAGAGGGTTCTTACTCTGTTTGCTTAAAGGGGCCTGGCAGTGGGGCTCGCCCTGGGCGGTTCCCCCAGTTGCGCCCCCTGGGTTCCCCTAGCTTAGCCTAGCTTAGCTTAGCTTAGCTTAGCTCATCTTAGCTTAGCTTAGCTTAGCTTATCTTAGCC